GTGACATCTAATAAAACCAAAGCAGAAATTACTGACTTAATCCCTGGGACACTGTACAACTTCACGGTATTTGCTGTAGCAGCTGATAATAAGACTGAAGGAGAAGGAGAGTCCAGAAAACTGTATACAAGTAAGTCACAGTTTCCTGCATTGCTGTTGCTGTGTTTTGCTGTGCAGCAAAGGGCTCTGCCCACCTTACATGGCCTGAAATTTAAATGTTGCTGGCAGAGTTGCTGTGCTTTGCCTGCCTGTAGTCAGAGATGTTTGTGTGAAAGAGACATAGCCTTCTTTGAAAAAGCAAGGTAAAACAAACACCTCTAAACCAATGATTGTTAAATTTGGTTACCAAGAACTGTGTCACAGTGGACTCTTCCCAAGACATTCTCTCTGGCCTGGGATTTTTGTGAGTGCAATTATTGCCTTCATTTCTTGGAGGACTGGGGGCTCAGAACATTCTTTTAAGGGCTCCCATATAGAGATACTGTGATCTGGGGCCCTGTGGCTGGAGCAGAATGAACTGTAGATAACACTGGCTCAGGAGCACATTCCTGGCACGACCTAGGCAAGCTGCTCCTTTGCCACCTTTCATCACCTCTGTTCCTTTTCTGTGATGTTTGAAGTTCCTTACCTTTTGCTGTACACTGTCGCAGCTGGCCATTTGTCTCGGTGCAGGGAAGGCTTGAGACCTTCAATATGAGTGTTCAACAAGCTGCGTTTATTGAAGAGCGCATCAAACTTTTATGCACAACAAGTAATAAGCTCATGCATATTCTGTAAGTTAACAGTCTATTGGTTATATACAGATATCAGCTTCTTCATTCCAAAGGAGTTACATTGCTTTTTCTCATGTGTCTAGTCTCTTAACTACAGCACTTTGTTAAGGTAACACTGCTGTGCTCAAGGACAGTGTCCTTGCAGGTGCAGAACTTAGATTAGCTGGGCTCTTGTCACGTAGCTATTTCTCTACAGTACACAGATGGACCACCATCTCCTTTCTCCAGACCACTCGCCCCCTTGTATCTCTCCTGACCAACATCTCTGAATTTCTGAGCAAAATCCTGGAGCTGTGGCATTGTAATGATGTGTTCTGCTATAGAATGTCAAAGGGAGATGACTGCCACTCAAGGTTACATTACATCAATTCTGTCTTAGCTGCCCAGTGGTGCCAAAGCCTCCAGGAATGCCTGGTGATGTTCTTGGGGTGCTCTTGCACACTACACCATGAGTGGTGTGAGGGAAGTGAAGCCCTGGTGTGGCTGTGTTCCTTGTTTCCATGTCTGTGAGCAGCTCTTCTTGCAGGCTGATGGGTTGTTGTTTTGCCTTTCACAGGGCCCAGCCGGGTTCTTGATCTCGAGGCAGAATCCATTGGTGTGACTTCTGTCACCTTAAAATGGGTGGTGAATGACAGCGCTGCTGACACCTACACGTACAGGATAGAGGTTGTCAATGGTACATTTGTGAAGAATGTGACATTCAATGAAACCAAAGCAGAAATTACTGGGTTAATCCCTGGGACACTCTACAACTTCACAGTATTTGCTGTAGTAGCAGCTGATAATGAGACAGAAGGAGAGGGAAGTCCCATAGACCTGTATACAAGTAAGTCACAGTTTTTTGCATTCTTATTGCTGATGGTCTGTGCTTTGCTGTGCAGGACAGAACTTTTCCCACCTGCCTGAGGCTTTAACTTAATAGCAGCCTTAACTGGGCCAGATGCTAGGAATGTATTGAAGAAACATAGCCGTCATTTATTTATTTACTTAGTAAACACCAAACTCCCTCTAACCTCCCACCATAAACCAAAAAATCCTCTACAACAACTACTAAACCAAAAACCAACCAATCAACCAAACTGAAATTGCCTTCATTGCCAACCATACCTTCCCTTTCCTGTCCACCTCTCTGGATTCCCTGGGAGCTCTGCTTCAATGATGACCAAAGCTTCTCCTTTGGAGTGTCAAAGGGAGGTAGATGCCACTGAGCATGGCTTGTCTTCAGTTCTCCCTTAGCTGCCCAGTGGTGCAACAGCCTCCAGGAATGCCTGGTGATGTTCTTGGGGTGCTCTTGCACTGTGGACCATGAGTGGTGTGAGGGGAGTGAAGCCCTGGTGTGGCTGTGTTCCTTGTTTCCATGTCTGTGAGCAGCTGTTCTTGCAGGCTAATGAGTTGTTGCTTTGCCTTTCACAGGGCCCAGTCGGGTTCTTGATCTTGAGGCAGAATCCATTGGTGTGAATTCTGTCACCTTAAAATGGGTGGTGAATGACAGCGCTGCTGACACCTACACGTACAGGATAGAGGTTGTCAATGGTACATTTGTGAAGAATGTGCCATCCAATAAAACCAAAGCAGAAATTACTGGGTTAATCCCTGGGACACACTACAACTTCACAGTATTTGCTGTAGCAGCTGATAATGAGACAGAAGGAGAGGGAAGTCTCAAAGACCTGTATACAAGTAAGTCACATTTTCCTGCATTGCTGTTGCTGGTGGTCTGTGCTTTGCTGTGCAGCATGAGGGTCTGCCCACCCCCCCAGGGCTGTAATTTAAGACTGTTGCAGGCAGAGGTGATGATTCTATTCTGGAGCTGGAGATGGCCAATCTCCAAGTTAGAGATGGATGTTAGTGTAAAAGCAGAATTGCCCTGGTACAAAGGTATTGGTAAAGCTTGCTTTCAGCAAGGAGAAGATACTTTTCCCTGAGCACTGGTCTCTTGCAAATTTGTGAAAGGGACATTTGCATTTATTACCTAGAGTATGGGGCCCTGAGATTCTCATTTTAAGGGGTTCCCACAAAGAGCATTTTATGCCAGATGAGCTTGTGTGATTTGGGGGCCTATAGCTGCCATTGTGGTGCAGCCAGGAGAGAGATTCAGGCAATGCTAGATCAGGAGAACTCCTTTGGCCATCCAGCTCCTTGCCATGTTGAGTATTAAAAGTCTTGACATGTGGTGTTGGATGGGCCATTTTGGAGCTGGCTTCCAAGGCAGTAGCCCAGCCTGATCTTTCTAGGCAGTGCATTTGAAGGAGGATGGATGAATGTTCTTGTCATTTGTCTTTTCTTAAAATGTGCCTTCATGTATGATCCTAGATGACCAGTCAATGCCCAAAGGTATCCCCTGTGCTATCTGTCTGTAATGGCTAATTGCCCTCTTTTAAAGATGCAGAAAGAATAGGAGACAGATGCAGAAAAAATAGGTGGCTGGAGACAGTGTCTCTAGCGGGTTTGGACATGATTTCTCTTCTATGAGAGTGAAGTGCAGGCATGAGGATTGGTTTAGAGTGTCTGGTTCATCACTGCTAATCCTCCTCTAGTGATATTTCATCTTCCTTGTATTTTGCTGAACAGAGTTGCACCACTGGTATCTTTCCCCTCCACTGTTCTCTCCTTAATGACTACCTTTTTGCCAGGTGAAGCCCTGTGAGTGGTAGCACTGGGCAGGCCTGTGCCCCTCTTGTCTTTTCCTGTAAAAGGAAAATCAGTCATGCTTGAGATGGCTCATTCTCAATTTCCTGCTACCCAGCTATTAATGCCAAAGCTTCCAGGAATGCCTGGTGATGTTCTTGGGGTGCTCCTGCACTCTGCACCATGAGTGGTGTGAGGGAAGTGAAGCGCTGGTGTGGCTGTGTTCCTTGTTTCCATGTCTGTGAGCACCTGTTCTTGCAGGCTAACAAGTTGTTGCTTTGCCTTTCACAGGGCCCAGCCGGGTTCTTGATCTTGAGGCAGAATCCATTGGTGTGAATTCTGTCACCTTAAAATGGGTGGTGAATGACAGCGCTGCTGACACCTACACGTACAGGATAGAGGTTGTCAANTTTCACAGGGCCCAGCCAAGTTCATGATCTCAAGGCAGAATCCATTGGTGTGAATTCTGTCACCTTAAAATGGATGGTGAATGACAGCGCTGCTGGCAACTACACGTACAGGATAGAGGTTGTCAATGGTACATTTGTGAAGAATGTGACATTCAATGAACCCAAAGCAGATATTGATTGGTTAATCCCTGGGACACACTACAACTTCACAGTATTTGCTGTAGCAGCTGATAATGAGACAGAAGGAGAGGGAAGTCCCATAGACCTGTATACTAGTAAGTCACAAGTTTTTTGCATCCCTATTGCTAGTGGTCTGTGCTTTGCTGTGCAAGACAGGGCTCTGCCCACCTGCCTGATGTTGTAATTTAATAGGAGCCTTACCTGCTAAAAATGAGTGCTTCATGCATAGGAGAAGCAATAGCCTTGATTCACAGCATCTGCTGTAGCAGCTGATAATGAGACAGAAGGAGAAGGAAGGTCCACAGACCTGTATACAAGTAAGGAAATGGTGGACAGCTCAGAGCTCTTCCTTACAGCTTGAGGGCTAAAGTGTAAAGTTGTTGTGTGTATAGATCTGATGTCTTGTTACTGTAGCTTATTTTGGAATGTCTAGTAAGCAGTGTGCTTCTTTAGGTGTGGAAGAAATACATCCTTGGTTTTAAAAAGAAAATCCAGGCAAACTTAATCCACACTGCTTCCTCTCCATGTTTGTCCTCATATCTCTTCATGTGGGAGATAATTTCTTGTCACAAATAGTGAGCCACTAGGAAGGATGCCCTCCTAGAGCTGGTGTTTTTTAATAGAGTTAGACTCATGGGACATGGTAGGTGGCTGGCTTGGCTACCGTGATCATTAAATGACTAAGTTTCAAATTTACCATGTAATGAATAACAAGAAACAGTAGAGTTGCTCTCCTGGAGTCCAGGAAAGTTTAAGCTGTTCAGGGTACTACTTAGCAGCCTACCCTGGGAATCTGCTTTTGGGGGCTTAGGAATCCACATGTGCTGTTCAGTTTTTGAAAACCACCTTTTAGAAGCACAGGAACAGGCAGTTTCACTATGTCAAAAGTTAAGTAATAGGGGCAGAAAACCAGCTTTGGTGAACAAGGAACTCCTGGTGGAACTCCAGAGGATGAAGAAATTGTATGAGTTTTGAAAGTGAGGTCAGGCCTCTCAGGGGGATTACAGAGCTGTGGTTTGTCTATGCATGAAGAAGACACCAGGGCCAGAACTCAGTCACAGTTGAAACTGGCCAGTGCTCTTTCAGATAACAAGAAAGGGTTTTTGAAGTACATTAATAGCAAGGGGGAGGTCTAAAGAAACCATTGAATGATCCTTGTTGAAGATGGTCACCTGGATAATAGGGATGAAGGAGATGCAGAGGCATTCCATGTGTGTTGTAGCTCAGTTTTCAGTGATACTGATAGACCTTGGTGTGCCCAATCCCCAGAGCTGGAGGCCGTGAGAGCTGGGACAGTGGCTTTCCCCTTGTGGACACTGGAACTGTGATGGACCACCTGTATCAGATGAAAGTTCACAAGTCCATAGGGCCTGTTGGGATTCATCCCTGAGTGCAGAAAGATCTCACTGGTGTTACACAGGACCCCTCTCCATCAACTACCAAAGGCCTTGGGAGCTGGGGAGGTCCCTGCCAGCCACTGCTATTCCTATTTACCAGGAGGGTGGGAGGAAAGACCCAGGAACCTGCAGGTCTGCTGGACCAACCTCAGTTCCTGGAAAAATTATGGAGGAGATTGTACTGAGTACTGTTAAAAGGTATTTTAAGAATAATGCAGTCATCAGGTGCCATCAACACGGGTCACAAAGGGAAAGTCCCATTTAATCAATTTCATCTTTTTACCTTAGCTGTGTGGTAAAGTCACCCACCTGGAGGGTAAGGGAAGGTCGTGAATGTAGTTTTTCTGCATTTTACTGAGATTTTTTGCTTCTGTCCCTCACAGCATCCTTCTGGACAAGTTGTCCAGCTGTGGGATGAGGGGGTTCATGGTGTGCTGGGTGTGGAGCTGGCTGCAGGGCAGAGTTCCCAGGGTTCCAGAGAGTGGGACTGTGTCTGGCTGCTGAGCAGCCACCAGTGCTGTCCTCAGGGCTCAGTCCTAGGGCTGCTCAACATGTTTATCAAGGTATGGATGCAGGAGTTGAATGCATACTGGGTACGGTTCTAGGCCCTGCAATTGAAGAAGGATGTGAAGGTCCTGGAATGCCTGTAGAGGAGGGCAAAAAAGCTGGTGCAAGGGCTGAAGTGCCTGCCCTGTAAGGAGCAGCTGAGGGCTTTGAGCTTATCTAGTTTGGACAAAAGGAGGCAGAGGGGTGACTTCATTGTTCTCCTCAGCTTCCTGAGGAGGGGAAATGCAAGGGGAGAGACTGATCTCTACTCTCTGGTGTCCAGGGAGGTGATGAGTGGGAATAGTTCAAAGTGGCTTTAGGGAAGGTTTAGGCTTGACATTAGGAAAGCATTGCTGTACTGACAGAGGGTTCAAACATTGCAATAGGCTTCCTAGAGAGGTGGTCAGTGCCCCAAGCCCTTCTGTGTTTGAGGCCTTTGGACAATACGTTCAGTAATACCCTTTAACTTTTGGTGAGGCATGGAGTGCTCAGGTAGATGGATGAGGGTAGTTATAGGTCTCTTCTAAGTGTATATTCCATTCCACTCTATCACTTTCCTGCCCACCTCTGGATTCCCAAGGGAAGCCTTAGGAGTTCAATCACTGAAATGGCCTGTACTTATGTTTTGGGGTGTCAAAGGGAGATTAATGACTCTCAGAATGATTTGTCTTCAGTTCTCTTTTAGCTGCCCAGTGAAGCCCTGGTGTGGCTGTGTTCCTTGTGTCCATGTCTGTAAGCAGCTCTTCTTGCAGACTGACAGGTTGTTGTCTTGCCTTTCACAGGGCCCAGCCAAGTTCATGATCTCAAGGCAGAATCCATTGGTGTGAATTCTGTCACCTTAAAATGGGAGGTGAATGACAGCGCTGCTGACAACTACACGTACAGGATAGAGGTTGTCAATGGTACATTTGTGAAGAATGTGACATTCAATGAAACCAGAGCAAAAATTACTGACTTAATCCCTGGGACACTCTACAACTTCACAGTATTTGCTGTAGTAGCAGCTGATAATGAGACAGAAGGAGAGGGAAGTCCCATAGACCTGTATACAAGTAAGTCACAGTTTTTTGCATTCTTATTGCTGATGGTCTGTGCTTTGCTGTGCAGGACAGAACTCTTCCCACCTGCCTGAGGCTTTAACTTAATAGCAGCCTTAACTGGGCCAGATGCTAGGAATGTATTGAAGAAACATAGCCGTCATTTATTTATTTACTTAGTAAACACCAAACTCC